CTTGATTTGAATTTGATTTTAAAAAAAAAACCGCGAGTCACTGCAACGGTTTGTTCACTTGCAATTACGGCAGTTATGTGATAGAAACAAAATGATGTGGCATTTACAACTACTTTACAACGTTTATCTTGTAGCGCCCTTAACATATTACTTATATAAAAATATCTGTACGTCCGTCTGTTTAAAATTATATTCATGTCGCACCTTTATTCGTAAAAAGAATTAACTCAAAATTTATGTATTGGGATTTTTATCATAAAGGACATTATTTTCGGGATTAGAACACGACTATTTCAATTGTCAAAATGGAATGAAAATAAAAGAGATAGCACAACCTCTTCTTCTCTCATTTCAAATCTCCTATAAACATGACAAACTCCAATCGCTATTTCCCAAAAAAACATACATTCTGATTTAATTTTTTTATGAATAAAGGTGAGATATGAGTATTCTATTTCTTAAACTAATTAGAAATAGTTTAATTATATTCAAATAAAAAAGTAATTATTATGAAAACTCACAAATCATCATTGCCAGCTCACCATACATCCCATTAAGGGGCTCGGAGCCTAAGTTAGGGTGCCCTAGACAATAATTAAATAAACTAATTTTTTCACATTAAGAAGACTGTAAATGGTGTGCACGTTAGTTGGCGATGCAATAAACCTTTTTGTGTTTTTATTTTTAATCCTCGTTCAAAATAAGAATATATGTTTGTGGCGATGTAACTTGCATGCGTAGTCTCGATTACGCATGTCAGAGTTCGAGGAGAAAAAGAATGTCAGTAGATTAGAAAACTGTAGCGAGTAACGGAAGGATGTAAAATAAAGATATATAAGAAGATAAATACTTCTTTATATTTTTTTATTAATTCTTTTTGTAAATAATTGAATGAGTCTTCAATAAGATGTTACAACGCTAGGCTGATTTGTACATAATAGTCTATTTGTATATTTTTATTAAAAGTTGTTAGTTTTGGTTATTTTCTTCTTATTTATTCTTCACGCGTTCCTTGTTCAAGCTCGTCTCTTTCATAACATCTCCAAAATTTTATAGTTAAATGGAATATTTATAAAAACGGACGACGCCGCGTTATGAGTTTATAGCTTGTAAAATGCAGGATGGGCCACTTGAAATGTTGATATCAGCATTTACTTTGAATTGCGGAAAGTTAACGAGTGATTAAGTAAATATTCCAGTGCTTATTCACTTCTAGTTTGCTAGTTTTACATACTGAATAACTTAAGTATTAGAGTAAGTAACTTAAGGTGAAAAATCAATGGATACAGTAACTTAAAATGGTTAACCGAAAGACTTTACTTATTACCACATATTTTAACAGTGGTAGAGCCCGCTTTAACATCTTCGCACGAATGGGCTGGCTCGCCCCCAGTGATACCACGACCACACAGAAGACAGCCGTGAAGAGAAAGCAATTCCGCGTTTAGTCTGATGAGTGTGGTGCCGAAGGAACAATTTTAGTCCCTCTCCCTTTCCACCCTTTTCTTAAGAGGAAATGATGGGAAGGAAAAGTGGATTTGACGGTGGAGGAGACCGATAGGAAGGGGAAATATCCTCTTTAAGTGCGTCTCCTCCGTCAATGAAGGGCACGCATCTGCAATTGCGGATGTTTATTGGCAAGGGATGCTTTCCATTTCGGTGGATTCAGGTGGCTGCTTGCTCGTTTGCCAACAAATGTATATTATAAAAAAAACTCATTAACACTTGGCGTGCGGGGAACACTTGCGCTAAATTACATGTGCAGCGGGTGTTGTTTTAGTAAATCGCGGGGATTTTTCGTTCATCGGATATTTCGCAGTAAATCAAAAACTGCTATATTATTTACAACGAATGTTCTAAATACGTATTTTTACGTGGTCCGCGCTTCAGCGACAGTCTGCAAATACATAAAAAGGCGTTCCCCGCATTTCAAGTTTTAAGTACCAGCTTTTGCCAGCGAACCCCTCCGCGTGGAATCAAAAAATGTAGTAAATAAAATATGTGTTCTTCCAGACTATCCTTTACATCTATGACAAATTTCATCGAGATCCGTTCAGCTCTTTTGGCTACAAACTCTAACAAACATACTTTTAAACTTTCGCATTTCTAACATTAGTAAGAAAGGGATAATTTCTAAAGCCTATAAAGATATTTGTACTCGAAATTTGATATAAAAGTAAGTAAGAGTGTACTTTGTATTATTTTTTTATTGTCTTTTTCCCTCTATTTCTGCAATAAATTTCAGATATCGTAGAAGATAAGACGCAATCGATGCACTTGTCGCCTTATCAAAGGTAGCAGTAAGCAGGAGTTAGCACTTGAGTTTGCGCTGAAAGATTTCCTGAATCAATTACATATTTACAGGTATTACAGAAACACTGTAAAAAAGCATATTTTTTCATGCTCCGTACAACATTACTTGTATCCCAACAAGTTACTAGTAGTGGAAATTAACGAATGAAGACTACAATTCTCAAGAGAATTTAGACAATTGCTGTTACCCTCGACTGCGTCCGTGTAGTATTAAACAAGAAAAAGTAAGTAACCTATGTGTTTCCAGACTATGCTTCATCTATGACAAAATGGAGAGCCATTCAGTAGTTTAGGCGGCAAACTATGACATCTATTCATCAAAACTTTCGCATTTATATTATCAGTAAGATTGAACCACTGTTTATAGATTTTTTGCTTCTTTCCGATTTAAAAAACCGCTATTTCACTGATAGTTTATACTTCTTATTTTATATTTTCACCACCGTTGCAAAACGACAGCGCCATGTGGGAATATCAAATAGGCACAAAATACCACGACTCATAGACTATCAATGTATACAGATTAGAAATGTTTAAAAAATCAAAAATACTGGCTGTTATACGTCAAATTAAAAAAAAATCCAAACCCAACTGGTTTTAACGTCACTTGTCATAAAGTCATAAATGTAAATTCTCGAGTGAAGATATTGTAAGCAAAATGGTTTGGCTAAAGTGAAAATAATTCCGAGTTAATGACGATTGAATTAAAATGGCGTGCCATATGAAAGTGTTAGAAAAGATTAATCCAGACATCGATTTGGATACAAAAGCGTCTAACATACTAGGTTTTGGACTCGAATCGAAACTTGACGAATTAAAATATGAGATATTACAGAAAATCGATAAAGAATTAGTCGATTCTCAGAACGCGAGGGATTTTGTTACACAGAAATATGACGAACTTTGTAACAAAATACAATTCCTAACTGAATTGGATGCTACGGTTACTGGATTTCGTGGTGATGTCAAATCCATAGAAAAACGACTTCTTGAATTAACTAATAGAATAGATGGTATCGAAAAAGTTGTTATATCAAGAGATTGTTCGGGATCTTTATTACTTTGATAGTGTTCTTTTAAATGTCTTGTAAACGATATTATTGTGACGTGTTTTTATTTTAATGTTCCCTTTTCTGCCATGATTGTCATTTCTATCTGCCAACACAATCATCTATCTATACTCTATACATATAACTAGCTGTTGCTCGCGACTTCGTCCGCGTGAAATTAAAAATAATAAAAAATATAACCCATGTTTCTCAGTGATAACGTAGCTTCTTAATGGTGAAAGAATTTTTTAAATCGACCCAGAATTTTTTGAGTTATTTTAATACAAACAAAAATACAAATCTTTCCTCTTTATAATATTAGTATAGATAAAATTGGAGTGTCTGTAATATGAAAAGAGAAATTACAGATTTCGGGAAAATGATATATTTGCGATGCTGATAACGAAAATCGCATTAAAAAATGTTTTTGTCTGTTAGTCCGCAAGCGATGTTTGATCCGGGTAATCCCAGAAACGGCTTGGCCAAACGCCCGGACTTTCACTGGAGGGTAGTTAACATAGTCGGGCATATTATAGGCTCTTTTTTTAATTCCTTGCTGCCAAATTGGCGTAAAGGGTGGTCCAAATTTGCGCTGACAAAGTTTGCAGGCGACAGCTCGTACTATTACTATTATAAATGTAGTTTGCACGGATGGATGTTATGTGAAAATGTCTTGTCGGAGACGATATTTGGCATAAATGTGGAACATAGTCTGAAAGAATACTAAAAACTCACTTTATTATTAACGCGCGGACGATGTCGCGGGATAAAGCTGATATTATATTTGGATTAGGAGTGGTAAATAAAATAATGTGTACATTACACGAAGTTTGAAAGTAGCGCCAGTGGTGGAGAAATTAAGAAGCGAAAGGTTAGCGTGGTATGGACATGTTATGCGACGAAACGATGGGGACATAAACCAGAAAGTGTTAAGAATGAATGTGGATGGCTATAAAGGTAGAGGACGACCGAAGAAAGTATGGATGGATTGAATGAAAGAGGATATGCTTAAGAAAGCAGTGGATTCAGATATGACGGCTGATAGAGATGTATGGAGCAGCACATACTGTGCCGACCTTCCGTAAGGGATAAGGGCAAGTCGATGATGGTGATGATAAAATAAAATAATTAATAATATCCCAACATTTTATTAGCAACAATAAACATAAAATGTCTAATTTGGTGTAAATAATAAATAATATAAAACTAAAAGAATTAATAATTATATTTCACGTTTCATATTAAAATAGTGTAAAATTTGACCGATACTTGACATACAAAAGTTTTCTTTAAAAAAACTGCATTCAAGAACCGGTATTTAGATTAGAATATATATCTTATAGTATATTTGGTATATTTCGTTCATTATTTACTTAACACTTATATAATAATATTGTTCTGCATTAATTTCCAGCTATAAAACTAACCTACACTATTACCTTGATCACATCCATTTTAAAACAAACAAAATTCATTCAAACCGCATTTTTTATTTCTTATTATAATTTTTGTCCAATATTAAATATATTTTTAAACAACTCATAATTGACATGCATTTTGTCCAACTGATTCCCATAATTCATTACACAATAACATGGGTTATTTAATTAAATAAAAAGTGAAAATTACACAAATATATTAAAAACATGGGTTATAATAATTAGATTTGTTCGTCAAAGACAACCACAATGAATAAAATAAAATATTACACACATTTAATTAATATAATAATTCATGTCTTCGAATATTTTGGACTGATCTTTGCATCAAAGAAATGCGATTTTTCCAAATATAAAAAATAAAACATACAAAGTCTCAATCATAAAAACATCAAATGTACAGAACGAGCGATTTCTTAACTAAAATATAACTAACAAAACTAACCTCTAAACATTCTTCCCGCCTAAAATCGCCTGAATCTGCGACACAGTCTTCCCCTTTGTCTCTGGTATTAAAAAGAAAACGAAAAACACACAGATAACCATAAACGCGGCGAAAAACCAGAAACAACTGTAAATACCGATCGCATCTTTCATCAAGGGGAAGCAGAGTGTAACAATAAACACTAAACACCAATTAGCGACCACAGTAATCCCAGACGCGGAACCTCTAAATTCAACAGAGAATAATTCAGCCATCATCATCCAAGGTATGGGACCGAAGCCTAAAGAGAACGAAATAATAAACAAGACTAAACAAACTAAAGGAAGCCAACCGAACGACGCAACACTAGCTCCACCCGCTTGAAGTTTGAAATAAGTACCAAGAATGATAAGACAAAGACCCATTATAATACAACTCTGGAGAAGAAGAAGACGTCTTCCAGCTTTTTCAACTAATAAAGAAGATATATAGGTGGCGATAGTTTGGACAACGCCCACGATAATTGTGGCGATAGCTGGTGGTATATTGGAGCCAGCGGATTGGAAGATGTTGTTGGTGTAGAAGATAACAGCGTTGATGCCGCTGAACTGCTGGAAGAACATGAGTCCAAGGCCGCATACCAGCGCCATACGGGACGCCTTGTTTGTAAGCATGCTCAGCATACCAGCACGTTGTCTTGCTGCATCATCCACCTGAAAAGAATCAATCATTTTTGATTCGTGGATAAAAAAAAAACAGTTATTCTAGCTAGCTTTAGCCCGCGACTCCGTCCGGGTGGAAATAAAAAAGTAGTCTATGTGTTCTACCAGACTATGTTCTACATCTATGCCAAATTTCATCTAGCAGTTTAGGCTACAAACTCTTAAAAACATCCATCCATCTAAACTTTCGCATTTATAATATTAGTATGATAGATAAAAGTTTTACTTACATCTTTCTGCATAT